GGGGTGGGTGTGGGTGGGTGTGGGTGTGGATGGGTGTGGGTGTGGGTGGGTGTGGGGTGGTGGGTGTGGGTGTGGGGTGTGGGTGTGGGTGGGTGGATGTGGGTGTGGGTGTGGGTGTGAGTTAATTCAACAAGTATACCCACACCCACAACCACCCATCCACACCCATACCCACCGGCCGACACCCACCCACACACCCACGCCCACCCAAACCCACAACCACACCCACAGTCGCACCCACACCCCACACCGCCACCCACACCTACACCCACACCCACACCCACCCACACCCACACCCATCTTCACTTTTTCATACAGACACTCACCATGCTCGATCTCTCCAGCAATAAAATTGGAGTCCTTGGAGCACAACATCTTGCCGATGCATTACAACATAATACGGTGACTCTCATACCTTCTTCATCTCTCATGTATATATGTCTCCTTTTCATACACACACTCACCACACTTGATCTCCTCGGCAATGAAATCGGAGGTCTTGGAGCACAACATTTCGCTGATGCATTACAACATAATACAGTAACTCTCATTGTCTCTTCTTGCCTTTCATATATCTATCTTCACTTTTTCACACAGGCACTCATCACACTCAATCTCTCTCAAAATCAAATCGGAGACAACGGAGCACAACATCTTGCTAATGCATTACAACATAGGACGGTGGCTCTCATTCTCGCTTCATTTCTCTTATATATCCATCTTCACTTTTTCATACAGATACTCACCACATTCAATCTCTCTTGGAATCAAATCGAAGTTGTTGGAGCACAATATCTTGCTGATGCATTACAACATAACACGGTGACCCTCATTCTCTGTTCATCTCTCTCATGTGCCGCTCTTCACTTTTTCCCACAGACACTCACCACGCTTGATCTCTCCGGCAATGAAATAGGAGCTCTGGGAACACAACTTCTTGCTGATGCATTACAACATAACACGGTAACTCTGATTCTCTCTTCATCTCTCATATATCTATCTTCACTTTTTTGCACAGACTCTCACGACACTATATGTCTCTTGGATCGGCATGGAAGATGAAATTTGGAATCGTGTACAAGAACTGTTTGAGCAGATGAAAGAACGAACAAAATCGTGAACATCGATTTTTGGATATCATTTGGCACAGAACTGTAATGGTTGTATGAATGTGTGCATGGTTAAGCGTTTTTCTTGTTTTTGTTTGCAAACGAAAATAAAGCATTTTTCTCAATGTGATGGTTGTGAATAATGAATTTATAGGGGTTGAATTTGTTTCCGTGACGCAGGAAAGAGGTATGAAGTCATTTTGTCGGAAGAATATTGCACATGTGAATTCAGTGAAGAGAGATGCTTTACGTTATGGTTGTCGATGATTATTACATGTGAGTAACGCTGTGTTGCAAGTGTTTCAGCGAATGGAGAGGCTAGTGAAATTTTAACTTCGATATATTGTCGATAGTGTTTGTGGTAGTGAGCGATGTTTTATGTGTTGGCCTTGTATGAAGATACAGTTGTAGTCAAAAAAACTTGGACAACTTGCTATGCCAGTATTTTCCTATATACATGTCATTCTCAAACTCTTTCATATATTGGTTGATAGCCTACGACGAGTACTTTCGAACACTATATTTCAATATTTTATTCGTTCACCTTTAGAAGAAATAAGAGACAAACATCTATTTTTCATCGACATCACACAATTTTTTATAACATTAATTTCAGTATTTTTGAATTCTTCAGCTAAAAAAAGTTCAAGTTCGTCAATATTTTTGGGTTTTCGATTTTCAACCTTTCGTTTTACGATCGACCAAATATTTTCGATGGGATTAACATCAGGACTGTTCGATGGCCAATCTAACAATTCCGGTACAGGGTTGGAAAAAATATTATTCAAGGGCGGTAACGCTATAATTTCAAATAGGAGATATGATGAATTTTATACCAAATGAAAGCCGGTGAAAAATGGATTTAGCGATGCTAAATAGTAAGGGTTCTCCTATTTGAAATTATAGCGTTATCACCCTTGAATAATATTTTTTCCAACCCTGTTATATTGAGATATGATATTTTTTAAATCACTAGTTGGTGCCATGATTAAATATATATGTATCGAAAAGAAAAGAAATCACACTTCTGTATAGGGGGACATATAGTATAGCTATCGATGATTCATCCCTAGAAATATTAGCTTTGTAATCGCTTTCAATGGCAAAAAAACGTTACAGAAAAAAAATTTATTTTGTCCAAGTTTTTTTGACTACAGCTGTAGATGTCAATACTCGATTTAGATTCTGATTGATGTGGGTTTCAGTACGGAATGATCAACAAGTCACGGAAGTTCCATTTTTTTAAAGATGTTCACAGGGAATAAAACCTATAGTGTAATTGAATTCACAAATATATAAGCTTGTATTGTCCCAACGGACATGTTCAATATTGGAATGATTCATACAAAGTAAATAGTGTAGACATGAGAAGACGTTCTTTTAAAATTGACTAACATTTATGACGACGTAATGATTGCGAAACATTCTGAGTTGATGAAATAATTGCATTCATTTTATGCGACATAGGTATATAGGATGTCCAGGAATTCACTAGACAAAGAAAAATTTCAATATCTTCGCCTTATTTCGACTATATGGGCTGATATTTTTATTACTGATAAAGTAATACGCATAGCTCATTTTCATAAAATGTTGTTAAAAATTCTTTGGAAGTATTTACAATTAATATTAACAAAGAACTGCAACCTTTCACCAGTTATGAAAAAACAATATATTTATTTCCTTAGTCAAGAACAAAAGACATCTAATGATTTCAATTAATTGTTCACACTAATAGTGTCATTTGAAGTCTTATTAATACTACAGACATGTGTCTTGTTACTTAGTGTACGCCGAACACTTCGGTCATAAACAGCAATAATCTGTTGACAAAACTTCAATATTAATTTTTCATAACTGGTGAAATGTTATAGATCTTATGTTGAAGTCAGTTGCACTACTTGAAAACAATTTTTGAGAGTGTTTCTATTATAATTATGAACAATGAACACTCCTTTATCGGTGATAAAAATATCAACCGATATGGTCGATATATGACGGAGATATGAAAAGTTTTCTTTGTCTAATGAATTCCTGGGCATCCTATAATATATGAACAATAAATTTTGTGAATCAGGATAGCTTCATTTTCGAATGAGTAGGTATGGAATTCAATAGAACATATACGTTTTTCCTAGTAAGGTATTTGAAGTTGCTATGACGCAGTCAGGATCGACAAAAACGGTATATAAATATATGCTCGTGAAATAGACCTGGTCTTTTTATTGCTATATTTGCTGTAGACTTTTTCTCTTTTATCGCATCTGGGCAAATCGATGCAACAAGAGGTTAATCCTACTCACTAAAAAATAAAGGAGTTTTTCAGAACCATTTTTGGTTCTGCACTACCTGCAAAATCCATTTGTAGTTCTGTATCACAGTGAAAAACCCTTAAAAAATCTGCACGATAATCCAGAACTGTAAAATGTTCCCTGGCTAGAAATGCTGAATCCAAAAGATTCTGCCAGATACTAAGGAAATATAAAAAGTTCCTTGTCAGAAATGCAGAACCCAAGAGGTTCTGTCCAATAATTCTGAACCTTCAAAGGTTCTACTGAATGATGCTAAACTATAGAGGGTGTGAGTGTGGGTGTTGGTGTGAGTGTAAGTAAAGAGAAGATCAGAATAACATACATACCCACACCCGCACCCACCCCCAAGTACTTGTGCAACATAAGAGATCAGAAATGAAGCCAGTAATATTTGTCGTTGCCATTTGTTTAATCGTAAGATCATAGTGATCTATTTTGATAGAATATGTGTCTTTCTTGTTGCCATTTTACATCTCTTTCAGGTTTCCTACCGTTAACGTAGATTATTCTCCTTCAGAAAAAAAACATATGATATTAATCAATGAAACGAACCTTTTTGCAAATAATTATTTAAATAAGAAAATGCTTTTTTTTAATTGTTCGTCGAAAAATAAGGAAATTTTATGTATATTCTAAGAGAACTTGTGAATTTGATCGAAAATGTGGATAAAAAAACCAGACAATGTTCTTCTTCTCAAGAGAACAACTATCAGAGTTGCAACAAAGTGAAGACAACGTGTGCTATTACAGGCAAATATACATATTTATATCTTTTTACAGATAACACTGTAGACATAGAGATAATAGAATGAAGTCTCTTTTTATAAATAAAGTGAAACATTGAAGAACTATACCTCTTGCACAAAACTATTTTGTGATATCATTCGTGTTGAGACATGATGGTGGTGGTTAAGATATTGTTAGTTTTTGTGTTTTTCATTGCATATTCATATCAACTTAATAATGGTCTCGGCAAAACACCTCAAATGGGTAAGAATGGAAATCACTAATTTAACTAAAGTAATGATGTATAAAACATTCTTTCAACACTACTAAAATGATATATTTTAATGGTTTCAATTATTTTCTATCGATAGAAAAAATTATTTGAATAAATCTTATTATAGGATGGAATAGTTGGAATCATTTTCATTGTAATATCAATGAAAAACTTATTCAACAAACAGCTGATGCAATTGTAGCCACAGGTCTTGCTGCAGTCGGATATGAATATGGTTTGTTTATCTTTTATTGTTCTATATCTCAATTATTTGTGTTGTTTTCTCTTTTTTTTGTTTGTAGTGAATATGGATGATTGTTGGCAAGTGAGTCGAGATGCTCACGGTGTCATTCAAGCTGATCCACAAGCATTTCCAAGTGGTATTCCAGCTTTAGTTGATTATGTTCAGTCGAAAAAACTCAAGTTCGGACTTTATTCAGGTAATATTTCCAAACCACCGTATACATATGTCATTTGTTTCTATATACATTAGATGCTGGATTCAAAACATGTGCTGGTCGACCTGGTTCATTACATTATGAAACGATAGATGCAAAGACTTATGCTTCATGGGGTGTAGATTATTTGAAATATGATAATTGTAATAATGATGGAACCAAACCTGAAGTAAGATATCCTGTAATGCGAGATGCATTGAATGCAAGTGGAAGACCTATCTTCTATTCTATGTGTGGTATATTTTATAAATTGATCATTCTTTTCACTATATACTATCAGATTATTTGTATGATAGAATGGGGTGTTGACACACCAGCTCTTTGGGCAGCAGATGTTGGGAATAGTTGGAGAACAACAGGTGATATTGGAGACAACTGGAAATCAATGTTGGATAATATTGATATTGTACGATTATCATGTATTTGATACATTTCTATATATTTTCTCATATTTAGAATAATGAATTTGCCGATAAAGCAGGACCAGGTGGTTGGAATGATCCTGACAGTAAGTGAATATTTCATATTCTCGAATATATTTACATCATTTCATGTTTATTCAGTGCTTGAAGTTGGAAATGGTGGTATGACAGATACTGAATATGTAACACATTTTTCACTTTGGGCAATTAGTAAAGCACCACTTCTAATTGGATGTGATATTAATAAAATGAGTAATGCTACTATTTCAACTTTGACAAATCGTGAAGTAATTGCTATCAATCAAGATCCATTAGGTGTTCAAGGAAAAAAGGTTGCTTTTCAATCATCACAATCACCTAATGCATTAACTGATGTAGGTATCATTAATTGTTTATCACCCACATTAAATATTGAACCAAGACGTTTTCAATGGAGATATAATGCTAAAGATGGATCGATTCGTTCAGTTTTGAACGGGAAATGCCTGTCAATCGAAAGCTGCAGTACTACCGAAAGCACAAATATTGTATTGAGTGAATGTCGTATTAATGATCCACAAGCACAATGTCAAGGAAAAAATCAACAATGGATCATTAATACAGCTGATCAAACTATTGTTTCTCAAATGAATGGAAAATGGTAAGTTTTTATTCGAATCTATCAATAGTGTTTGAAAATGTGAAAGTTGTATTGTTTAGTTTGGATGTTTTTAATTTTGATGGATCCAATGTGAATGTAATTTCCTGTAATAAACAAAATAATCAACAATGGATATGGAATACGATAGATGGAACTATTCGCAATAAGCACAGTGGTCAATGTTTAATACAGGTACCTGAACTCGAAGTATGGGCAGGTCCACTTGACGATGGTTCAGCCGCTGTAGTTTTACTCAATCGAGGAAATAGTAGCGAGCCAATCACTGTTCATTGGAGTGATATCGGTTTTCCAACTAAAGATTCAGCTCTCGTTCGAGATTTATGGGCTCACAAAGTTATTGGAGCATTTCGTGGTAATTATACATCACCACCCATAGATCCTCATGCAGTGATGATGTTGAAAATTAGACTTTTTGCAATAGGCAAAAAAAATTATTAATTAACTTGATATTTAATTCAGTGAAGTGTTCTATTTTTTTTTAAATATTTCTTCTTATTATAAAACGCATGTGATTGAATGTAATAAAGAGCAATATTTATGGGTTTTGTTCGTAGTTTGTATTCAATTTGTCTGCTTTTTATGGGATATAGATATACGAAGATTGGTCATTATATCAACTTGTTTCATAATTCTGATGAGAACTGCATATATCATCATGAATTAGAAAGTCAATCTTGCCTATCCATAGAAAATAAGAGAATAATTTGTTCCAGAATTATATAACATATTGAAAAATATTATCAACATTTTTTCACATGATGCTGTCTTATTTACATGATGTCCCAAAAGTCGCTTATATGAAATAATTTTCATTTAACTCTTCAATTCCATTAGACATAATCGAGTATTATTTTTTCATATGATGTATATCCAAGAAGGAAACAGCGGACTGCAGTCCATTGGAGATCTTTAGAATTTCATGAAGACTAATCGAATTTTCAAGAGTATCATACGTAAAACCTTATGGCTGTTTAATGAAATTGTTTTGAGAAGCTTTCGTCTGTCTTCATCAGAACAAACTCATTCTATAACTATTCCTGAAGTAAAACAATACTTCTATTTGACTCAGCAGAAAACGACAATTGTAAAAGCAAGGAATATTTTACTTTATTATTTTTTGTTCATCTGAGTAACTCAAATCAATTTCTCGTTCATCAATCGATATTAGCTGTTTGTACAACAGCAACTGGATAGATCGTTCTTAGGTAAAAAATTAATATTGTAAGAATTTCTTATTTCTGACACGTTGTTTTCTTCATGTAGTTTCGTTTGGTATAAAGACAACGGATACTCATGAGCATCTCTTGTTTGGTATTTAGCGGATCTCATCAGTAGATGGAGAGGAACTTTTTATTATGTGCCTTACTAGATTTCAGGAGTTTGCTAAGGACTATGAGTTCTTCTTCTGTCTTTCATCAATGTTACACTTTTACATCAAATAATTAGATTTTGCATACATTCCCTAAAATGAATAGATGCTTATTGTGGCTTCTGAATTAATGATACAGATTCTCGGTTAATTATTCATGATTGATATGATACAGATACGAAAGTCAATCCAAAGTCTTATCGATTTGAATTTTTCATTATTTATAAGAGCAGGCACTGGAGAAGAAATTTGCCTGACAAACATTTTTTCAATTATTTTCTTCGAACAGTATACCTCTATTTTGGTATTTGACTTTAAAACGGTATTTAGTCGAGAAAAACATTTACTTTGTAATAGCATTGTTATTTTACTATTTTAAACTATATGGATTTTATATTGGCAAAGAGTACAAAAAATCAAATTATGAAGAGAACTGGAGCGCTAGTTTCATTTTAAACAAAAATATTGAAAATAATCTAAGATATTTTACTAAAAGACGATTTGACATTCTTTTCATCTCGTCTTATTACATTTCTGATCTTCATTTATCAATTTTCTTCTTTCGTTGTCTATCCTAGTGCGTTGAGGTATAGTCTATTTTTAGAGCTTTACTGTATTATGGGTGTTGTTTTATTATTATACCAGATGTGAACAATAAGTGAAACGATAATTCTGTGACCGAACATCTAGAAGAAACTTTACTAATGTTGGATCGAATATCCCTATAATTTTTCACAGTCCAACGCTTTATTTGCCATTAATAATTATATTTGAAAGAGAGTGTGTGTGCGGGCGTGGGTGTGGATGTGGATGTGAGTGTTTCGCTCATCACACCCAAACCCTTATCTGAAGTTGTCATAGAATATATTTTAAAAATGTTTAATCTATCATCAATATGGGAAACGAAAGATTTGGTAAAAGAATTTCGAGCACACGTTCAACAATCCATGTTAGATGAAAAAAGTGCATGGAGATGGATTTATTGGGCAATTATGAATATAACAGAATCTGTCCGATCTTTATCTGCATGGCCACCAAGACAAAAAGAACAAACAAGAAATCAATTGCATCATACAGAATCTGATTAATATATATCAGACAAACCAGATTCTATAACTCAGTTTCTAGTTCTATGAGTCTACTAAATTTTCAGTAGCGAACTAACCGCGAACTTTTAGGTGGGCCAATAAACAGTTTTTGGCTGACTCTGTGCTAATTTCAAAATTTTTCCGAGAGGAAAATTTTTTTTAGATGTGGCAATTGCCGAATTGCTACGTGGCGGTCCACCAATGTAAATTTCCACAATACATAATGAAAATTAATCATAGGATGCATCATGTATTATTATTCATCATTGGTGAAAAAGCGAATTCGAATAATTATGCGTTTTATTTCGAATTTCGCTATTGCCAGAAAACTCAAAAATTGTCGGTATTCATCACTTCAAAGATATGGTACACCTTTGACCGATAATCGAAAATTCATAGGTTTGGGTTTCACCTCAGCTTTATTTTTTCGACCAGTCTTTTGTGCTAATAGAGATATACCATATTGATGGTCATGTATATCTATTTCCGTGAGCAAGAGAAATTATGTTCCGTGACTCGTCCAGTACGAATTAAATCATGACGCTAATTCTTCCTCACCGACACTATTGTGAACTATCCGATATTGTATACCAGCTGTGAAATTGAAAACAGCAGAACAGCTGGACTTGCCCAGAATTTTAGAGTGATGTTTTGGCTTTCAAATAACCATATTTGAATAAAAAAACCTACTGCTTTCTTGGAAACTAAAAGCTCATCGATATTGTCAAGCATGTTCACTATAGGAGATCTCTGTGTAAAGAAAAATTTTTCTGTCAGTTAATGTTCAAAGTTTAACTTCTATCGAATGCTGAAAACTGCATGCCTTTCAGATTTCTGTTATTGAATTTAAAAAGTGCATCTACGGTCACTACATTTTGAAATTAATCGTAGAAATACAGATCACGATCTGCGTTCTAAAGATATAGATCGACAACAATTTTTGGAGACCGCTGATGGACCCATTTCTTTGCGGTTTGCATGACAAAAAGTACAAAAGTTGGGTGTGGATGTGGGTGTGGGTGGTGGTGTGGGTGGCGGTGTGGGGTGTGGGGTGTGGGTGCGACTGTGGGTGTGAGTGTGGGTTTGGGTGGTTGTGGGTGTGGGTGTGGGTGTGGGTGTGGGTGTGAGTGGGTGTGGGC